CCATTCCTCACTCCGTGCTCTCCTCTGGGCATTCTCCTTCCTTTCCACACCCTACTTTTCTCTCTGGAGAGCACACCCAAGTCCTGCCCACTCGTGTTGCTCCCCTGAGCTCCAGTGGATCTGCCTACCTGCCCAACACCTCTGTGTGGGAGATGCCGTATTATCTCAGACTCATCATAACCGAAATGGGATTCATCTTTTCCTTAAGCCAGCTTTTTCCTCTCAGACCTCAAGCTCTGTTGATGGCACCTCTCAGCCCTTATCCTCCCTGTAGATCACCTTGGATTTCATTTTTTCCCTCTCCCCTACTTGGTCCCTTCACTAACTCCAGGCAATCCCCTAACCCCACCCATGACTCCTGGCTGCCCCTTTCCTCTTCCCACCGCACTGTCTGAAGCAGCGCAGCCCTTCTTACCTGTGTGGGTATAGCAGCCTCCTGGCTGCTCTGCCTGCTGTCAGACTTCCGTCTGATTCTGTACTCTGTGTCAGATTGATCTGCGTAAAACATTACATCTAAATCATGTCGGTTTCACTCCTGTAGGATGAAAGCCAAGCTTCTCATCCCCACGTTCAGAGCCCTTCATTGGCTGCTCCCAGCCTACCTTTCCAGCCTTCTCTCCCACAGTTACACGTACGTCCTGCTCCAGCTGCACTGCTCTAGTCACCAGCCTCTGAACACGACATATTCTCCCCAGGCCTTCCCAGTAGTTTCCACCTCTTTCCTTCAGGGCCACCTCTGCCTCTCCAAACCCCACCTGTCTTTTGAGATGCTCTGTAGTCATTTCCATGTGATGCCTTCTGTGGTCTCCCCCATCCCGAAGGGTTCACTCCTTCTGCAGAACAGCCAGAGTATTTATTTTACCTTTATCTCTCAGTGCCTTGGGTGGTCCATGGACCACCAGCCTGGGCATCACCTGGGACCTTGTTAGACATGCAGAATCTCAGGTTCCACCTGTGACCTGTGGACTCAGAGTGTGCATTTCAACAAGATCCCCAGGTGGTTTGTGTGCACACTTAAGTTTGAGAAGCACTGGACAGTGTGGTCATTGAAGGCAGGACCTTGCTTCTGTTTGGGGGTGGCCTTTGGCCAGGGATGGTGGTGTTCTCGAGTGCCAACTTTAGCAGCCCCTGTCAGGTGACAGACAGATGCCATATCTGGCCAGATCCCACAAGCTATGGTGAATGAATGGTAGAGATGGCTGAGAAGGACGTGTACCCTGGCTGGATCTTTCCCACCCAGAATCTATACCTCACAAGGTCCCAGAGCTTAACCTCTGTAAATGTGACTCTGGAAAGCACTCTAGTGGCATGAGAAGCAACCAATTAATCAGTAAAAAAAGCAGTTATCAAGCATATAGCAGAACTTTTTCCCTCTTCACAAAACACACATTGGTGGAAAGGCCTGTTATTTTAATGTATATTTTGAAAATAAAAATATGTAGTTTTGGTCTTTTTCCTTCCTAATACAGTTTCTAAAGTAGTAATTTTAGGAAACACAATATGTCACATGAAGAAAATAAAAGTGGCTCACAAGTCTAGTATCCAGCTATAAATAGTGCTATTTAATGTATTAAATTGCCACTCATTCATTCTGTAAATATTTACAGAGCCCTACTATATGCCAGACCTGCACCAGGTACTAAAGACTGAGGATGAAGAAGATAACAAGGTTCCTATTTTTAAGCAGCTCACAGCCAGGGGGCGGGATGTGGGAGACAGGCGCCGAGCAAGTTAAGAACAGCAGTGTATTCATTTCTTAGGGCTGCTTGAACAAAGTATTATACCACAAACCAAGTGGCTTAAAACAACAGAAATTTATACTCTCACAGTTCTGGAGGCTACAAGTCTGAGATCAGGTGTTGGCAGGGTTGGCTCCTTCTGAGTGCTATGAGGGAGAATCTGTTCGATGCCTCTCCCCTAGCTTTCGGTGACAGGTGGCAATCCTTGGCATTCCTTGGCTTGTTGATGCATCACTCCAATCTCTGCTTCCACTGTCACATGGCATTCTCCCTGTGTCTCTGTTTTCACATGGCCAACTTCCTCTAAAGACACTAGTCATGTTGGATTAGGGATGCACCCCACTGTGCCATGACCTCAACTTCACTAATCACATCTGCAACAATCCTATTTCCAAACAGGGCCACATTCTGAGGTACTGGGGGTTAGGACCTCAACTTGGGGGAGGAGGGGACACAATTCAACCCATAATAGGCAGGGACAGTGCAGAGTGCAGGGGAGTAACTAACCTCATCTGGAAAGACTCTCCTAGGAAATGACCTTCAAACTGGGATTGAGACAAGAGTAGGGATTAGCCAGGTTCAAAGGCAGAGGGACAGGACAATATTGGGTCCTCCAGTCGGGGAGGTGGGAGCGGGCTGGAGGAGAGCATTCCAGGCAGACAGGAGACAAAGTGGCACTTTGAGGAATGGAAAAAAGCAAGTGTGGCTGGCATACAGAGCAGGGGCGAGAAGCACGGCACAAGCTGGGAGATGGGAGAAGACAGGAGCCAGGTCCCATGGGCTCATGGGCCTTGGTGAGGGGCTTCTCTTTTGTCCTGAAGGAATGGGACGCTATGGCAGGGTGCCAAGGGGGTGTGATTTAGTCTGCTTTTTCGTCGGCTGTCTTCTCCCAAGATGGAGCTCTCTAAAGGCTGTGTTGTTCCTCTAAGTCCCAAGTCCTAAGGGAGGACACGCAGCCATGTCCTCAGGAGCCTCATGGCTGAGTGAAGGCACCAGCAACTCTGTCCGGGGAAGGAGGCATGGCCATGCTCCCGGCAGCCCCTACTTGGAGGGTGAGGGATGAGCCCTGCCTTCAGGAACCTTGCTCTGAACAGGAGACAGGCTCACCAGGCCCTGGGTCTGCCTCACCCTTGGGTGTCCTGAGTCCTCAGTGTCTGGGGGACACAGGTTGGGGCCTGGCCACCCCACCCCCTGCACTGCCATGAGGACTGTGACTTGAAATGTAGCCAGGACCCAAGTGGCTCCCTGAGGCCAGAGGCCCCAGTGCTGAGGGAAGCCAGGGCTCCTGCAGGGGCCATGCCGTCAGCACCCTGTTCTCCTCAAGGGATGTCTGGAGTCTGTACTGACTCCTTGCACAGGACCCGCCCTTTCTGGTGCTCAGCTCGTCCCTTATCACACCCTCAGAGGGCTGCCCCTTTACTGCGTGTGATGGGAGAGGGCCCGCCCTGCGCAAAGCTGCCCGTCGCCGCCTCGCCTGGGCTGGGTGGCCCAGGCTGGGTGGAGGAGAAGTGGGTCAGCTTGGTAGCCATGGTGACAGCAGCTGCTCCCTGCCAGCCTCTCATCTCCTCACCACAAACCATACCGATGAGCTCCTTTGTCCGGTCTGGCAGGGATGGGGGCCCGGAGGGTGAGACTGGGGGCTGGGGTGTGAGTGTGTGTGTGCAAGCTCGCACAAGGGCCTGCTCAGGGCTGGCGGGTGCGCCTCAGCCAAGGGAGCCCACCGCTCCGGTAAGACGCTTCCTGCTTCCCTGCCCACTGAAGCCGTGGGGCTCTTCCCGCCCCTCTGGCTGGGGCTAAGGGGAGGGTGCGTGTGAGTGTGTGCAGATGTGTGCACACACAAGAGTCTGTGAACGCCTGTGGCTGCCCCTGTGGCTGCTTCTGTGTGCCTTTGTGTGGATGAGTGTCTTTGTGGGGGTGTGTGCACATATCTGTGTACACGTGATTGTGTCTTTAAGTGCATGTCATCTGTGCGGGTCTGTATGGTATGTGATCACACACTTGAAGTCCTGTGTGTGTGTACGTGTGTGTGCTTCCTTGGTGCAGCCCACCTCTCCCACCACATGCCAACCCCTGTCACCTCCCCCAGCTCTCACTGACTTTCTGGCACTTGTCTCTGATGAGGGCACAGACTGGCACGTGTGATGTCGTGGGCAGTCCTGGTGCTGGGTTGGGATTGGGGAAGGGGTCTCAAATGCCAGAGCCAGCATCCAGCAAGGGATCAGGAGCCCGAGATGCTGGCACAGTTCATGGGCCACTTCCCACCTCAACTGAGAGGTGCGGGTACCCTGATCCCGCACTTACTCTGGAGCGCTCAGGGCTGCAGTGGGAGATGACCTTGTTAGTCTCTGGGCTGTCCCCTGAAGTGGTTGCACCTGGTGTGCACTCCAGACCAATAAGAATGAACACGTGCACAATCCCTCACCATTTACAAAGGCGCTGTTATTAGTAATAATAATAATTGCCCAACTGAGCATTTAGCATGTACCCATCCTTGTTTGGTAATATTTTATCCAATAATCCTAAAGCAGACGTTATCCTCCCCACGTTAGGGATAAGGAGTGGTAAGCTCAGTGGGTTTGCTACAGAGCGGCAGATCTAGGTTCCAGGTCTGCCTCCAAGCACGTGTTTTTATTCACTCTGTTGCCTGCCCCTCACTGTCTCATCTGATCCCCGGTCCAGCCTGGAGAGTCAGGCACGGCCAGGTGGTGATTAGAATCATTTTACAGAAGAGGAAATGGAGGTTCGGAGAGGCTGAATAACTTGCTCAGGGTCACGTGGCTGGCTAGAAGTGACCCCCCAAGGCATGTCACAGAGTTTCTGGGGAGGGACACAGACCCCATTAGTCAGGGAGAGGATGGAGGAGGAATAGGGTGTAGAGCTCCTGAGGAATTGGTCCTGGATGAGTCTCTCATATGTTAAAGATCTTAAAGTTGTGTGACTTTAGCAGCTTGGCATTAATGTGCCTAAAGGCAGATTAGGGGACCCAGGAGTTTGGACAGTATTGCAAAGGAGGAAATAGAATCAGAAAGATTAAGTGATTTGCTCAAGGTCCCACAGCTCAAGGTCACTTTGGAGAGATAGACTCTCCAAATTCTCTCTTTTTATTCCACAAGCTACTGGAAGCTCTTGAGGGCAGATGTCTTTCCTAGCCCCTCTTCTAAGCTCCCCATTCCCTTCCAGACCCTCTTATCATATTGCCTCCTCCTGGGAGCCTGCCCTGATTGCCTTCACCTCATTTCTTGAAAACTGGTATCTTGGCAGAAGTTGACTGAAGCCTTGTACAGATGCCCTAGGGGTGAGCTGTTGGGAGGAGCACAGCCCACTGTGATGCGGATCACCAAGCTCTGATTCATGAGTTTGGTGAGTTTGTGTTTTCTTCTTCCGGGTGAGAGGTGGGGAGGGAGCACATGAAAGGTGATGTGGAACCACCTGGGAGCTAGGGGACTTGGTTTGGAGCTCAAGGTTTTGTTTTGTTTTGTTTTTTAAGACAGAGTCTTATTCTGTCACCTTGCTGGAGTGCAGTGGTGAAATCATAGCTCACTGAAACCTCAAACTCCTGGGTTCAAGCGATCCTCCTGCCTCAGCCTCCTGAGTAGCTGGGACTACAGGTGCACACCACCATGCCTGGCTAATTTTTTCTATTTTTGGTAGAGACAGGGATCTCACTCTTGCTTAGGCTGGTCTCAAACTCCAGACCTCAAGTGATCCTCCCACCTCGGCCTCCCAGAGTGCTAGGATTATAGGTGTGAGCCATTGTGCCCGGCCAGAGCTCTAGTTTTGCTCCCAATATTCTGTGTGACCCTGGTGTCTCTTCCCCATTCTAGGCCTTGATTTCCTACTCTGTAAATTGAAAGACTCAGCCTGGAATAGAGATGACAAGTCAGTTTTAGCTCATGAGCTGGTTCTCATCAGCTGGTGCTAGAACACTATGTTGAGAGGGATTCTGAAATTCAGTCTGACCTTGATGGGAGAAAGATGGATTAGTGATGTCTGCTGTGGGCGGAGAATGGGGAGGGGTGGTAAGAGCCTCAGTTATTTGCAATCCCTTCTAGCCTAACAGTCCATCATCCTGTGATGGATTCCTTGGTCTTTCCTGTGGAAAGGGTGAGTGGATAGATTCATCTTGGACTTTTGGGTGGCCTCTGACTCTCAAAAAAAGGCTCATTATCTGGTTAGACACATGGTCAAGGGGACCCAGGGGCCCAGGGTGGTCTGGCAGAACCCTGAAGCCTGCTGTAGTCAGGATTCAGGAGAGGGTTTGGAGAGCCCTTAGGGTACTGAAACATCAGGGTAGAGGCCAAACATCAAGGACTGAAAAGAAAACACAAGGCTTATTCCTGGGGAGCTTGGAAGGTATCTTCTGGCATGGAATTTCGGCAGGAGTTGGGGCAGTGGCCCTTCTCCCTGGAGGACGAATCACAGCAGAGTTTTTCTACTGCTACAGTAGTAGCCGGGAGTCAGCAGAGAGCACTTCAGAGTGAAGTCTCTGTGACCGTTGAGATCGCAGGAGGGTTCCTTCCTTGAGATGCCATGACCTGGGCTGAGAGAGAGACAGTCTTGCTCAGAGGCAGGGGGATTGTCGAAGTGACTTTCACAGAAAGGATGTAGTTCATTTAGCAATTGTTTAGAACCACGAATGTGCCATGCTGTGTTCTGTGTCCCGTCGGCCCCTCGCCAGTGTGCCCCCCTCTACCTCCTCCCCGTCCCATCCCTGTGGTCTGACGGCTCAGGGGTTGCTATGCAGTGGACGTCCCTTATTATAGTGGTCCTGTCTGTATCTCTGGCATGTCCTTCCCGCGCTAGGCTGGCTGCCAGAGAAGGAACTGGAGCCCCACTTCCGAGCCCTCCACCACAGTACGCGCTCGTAGACTCAGTCCTCCCAGTCAGAAGGCCTTTTGGAGATTGCCTAATCTGACCCCTTTGTTTACATGCAGATGGGGAAGCTGAGGCCCAGAGACGTTCAGACAAGGAATCTGTTCACATTCTAATCCTGCGTCCTGATTCCTAACCCTCCCAGGCTGCGCTACCTAGGACTCCTGGACCAGAGGGTCAGGCCTTCGGACCTTGGGTCCAGTGCTTTGGGTCTGGTTCTTCCTGTCCCCTTGGGGAGTGGCCTGCAGGCTGGGCCCTCCCTAGCATTTATCAGTTCTCCAGGCCCCCTGGGTGATCCCTGGGTGGTTAAAGATGAGAAAACCGCTCTGGATGGTGCAGAGTCCTGGATGCCAAACCATCTGCTTGTCAGTTCTGTTTATTATTCATGAGGAAACACGAGCCCCTGGGTTGGCAGTGTCAGGAATTTTGTCCCTTACCCCCTTGCTTTCTCAACCCCCGAGGTGGTGCTCTCAAGCTTCCTGGAGGCTTCGGGAGGGAAGCGCTTGCTTCTCCAGCTATGGTCTGCTTGGGGTTTCTGCTGCCACTGAGATGCTCAGGCCAGCCGTGGGAACCTGGGCCAGAGGAGGTGTTCTCATGATAGACAGTTTCCTTGCAGTTTTCTCAAAGAGCCCAGGACCCAGGGCAGAGCCCTAGCTTGGGGGATGGGCCCATATCCTTGGCTGAGCTCTGGGTTGCAGGGGCAGGGGCTGCTGAGCATGTCTGTTTCTTTGTGGAAACAGGAGGCTTGGGTTCGAGTCCAGGCCTTGCCACTTCTTAGCTGAGTAGGAGGGGCAAATCTTTTACTTCTCTGAGACTCAGTTTTCCCGTCTACAATGTGGAGATAACTACACGGCTCACAGAAATACTATAAAGACTTACCCTGTGGCAGAGCCGCAGTCTCAGATAAGCAGTCTTCTACCTTCTACCAAACAACCATGCAGATATACCCCCCCAAAAAACAAGCAAAAATAACAACAGAAGAAACACCACAAACTGGCACCAGCATTGGAAACTAAAGAGAAGAGATCATCGCAGGCCAAAGTCTAGGGGGACTTTCCATTAGCTACAAGGTTGATGGGGGATGGAGAAATGTAATCTGGGGCTCTGCACACGTCACGGGGCGAGTGAGAACGCTCCAGACAGTCACAAAGAAGGCAAAACAGGCTTTGACTCATCCCCTCTGCAGCTCTGCTTCGCCAGGCAGGCAGGAGCCATGCTGAGACTGGGTGACCATTCTCAGGGGTCTGGGGACTGTCTTCCTCATCCGCCAGAGTGGTGCCAATCCTCTCCCACCTCCATTCTCCCTCCCCTTTCTTTCTATGTCCTTTTGAAAAGTCGGACTGCCTCAGGGAAGCAGGCCTGAACCCTGGGATGGGCAGCTGCCCCAGGAAAAGCACTGGGGGGTGGGACACAGCGAGGAAGTTGCCGGGTGCAGAGCAGGCTGGAGAGGCTGGCTCTGTAGCTTCTGCTCGAGCAGAGGAGGCCGCCTGCAGCAGTGACCTTCGCAGCCCAGTCGTCGAGGCTGACAGCTGCAGATCCCACTTCTGCTCAAAACAGAGCCATCGACACCTGCTGTCCCCCTCCCCCAGAGTGATTCTCAGAGCCCTCTGTCCTCCTTTTCCCTAGCACTTACCATAACCCTCATTAAATATTTAGTTGTATAATTAGTTATTTACTCTCTCTCTCCCTCCTGGACTGGAGGCTTTGGGAAGGCAGGACCAAGTCGGCCTGGCTCACTGCTGTATTCTTGGCATTCCGCATTGGCCTGGGAATTTTCGGGGCCTAAATGTTTGTCGAACGCAGCTCATGGGGAGTGTAAATTTCTCTATTTTCAAAAGGAATTTGGTAATATATTTCAAGAATCCAAAACACATTTATGCCCTTGGTATCACGTAGGGTACTTTTGGGTATAATAGAGAACTCTGATTCAAACTGGCTTCAGCAATGGAAAATATATTATCTCACATAACTGGTAGACCAAGTATGGCCTGAGAGCCTTTCTGTCTGTGTGCTGGGCTGCCTTCAGCTACCCTGGCTTCATCTTAGGGTTGGGGTCTTCATGGGGGTAGGGAGAAGGAAGGAGGGAGAAAGAGGGGGAGAGATAGGAAGAGAATCTCCCACCTCTCTGTAAGCACAGAATCCAAATCTTCCCATCCTTGGACAAGTAGGAGTTGCCAAGGTGAATGCCAGTCTCAGATTGCCTTAAACTAAGATCTGCCTCTAAAACAAGGCAGGGGTGGTACCTGGACAAAACCAGCCCTCTGTCAGGAAGCAGGAAGGGGGAGCAGATGTTGGGGAAGCTGCCAGCAGTATCCACACCCTCTAACCCAGTCACTCCATTTCTAGGAATCGACCCTAAGGAAATAAGCAGATAAAATCAGTGTAGAAAGATATTTATTGCAGTGATTATTTTAAAAGAAAGGAAAGAGATGGGAAAAACTTGGGCCTGATCTCAGAGGTAACTGTATTGAAATATTTAAGTCAATTGCAATGGAATATTACAGTAGCACTGAAGCATTTATACAAACTGTTAATGACATTGGGAAATGCTTATGATACGATGTTTAAATGAAAAATATCAGGATATAAAATTGTATTTGCAGTATCAGTTTAATTATTTTTAAAAACACAAAGGAAGGAGACGGGAAAGAAACAGGTTGAAATGCTTACTGCGGCTGCCTCTCAGAAGCGCAGTGAAGGGTGATTTTGTACTCTTCCGTACCGTCCCCTTCGTGCAGGACCCCACCAAGGTCTGCACAGTCCACAGCCAGTTTTGTTCTCCCTGTTCTTACTATTTGCTGTGAAAATAACAATCACTAATAATTGCTGAATATTTACTCTATGCCTGCCACCGTTCTAGGCACTTTACATGCATTTCTAATCTAATTCTTGCAACAGTCCCATGAGGTAAGTGCTTTTATTTCTTGTTTTGCTGAGGTGTTCACTGAAACCCCAAGATGTCTGGTCACAAGGTCACACAGCTAGTGTGTAGAGGCCTTTGGAATTCAAGCCCAGGCCATCTGACTCCACAGCCTTGGTCCTCGTGGCCAAACCAGGTCCCTGCCAAGTTATTCGTAGCCATGTGCTAAGAAGGATAGTCCCATTTATTGAGCCATACTCCACGAATGACCCTGGCATTTATTTGTTCATTTAAACCCTACAACATCAGAGAGGTCGAATGACTTGCCCAAGGTCACACAGCTAGGAAGTGCTGGGGCTGTGATAGAGTCACCCAGGTCTGACGTGGGATCCCTTTGTCTCCCACCCGCCTCCAGAGTTGCCTGAGGTCCTGCCGCCCCGGGGACCATGTTTAACGGGGAGCCAGGTCCAGCCTCATCCGGGGCCTCCAGGAACGTGGTGCGGAGCTCCAGCATCAGCGGTGAGATCTGTGGGTCCCAGCAAGCCGGAGGCGGGACTGGGACCACCACTGCCAAGAAGCGGCGCAGCAGCCTGGGCGCCAAGATGGTGGCCATCGTGGGCCTGACTCAGTGGAGCAAGAGCACACTCCAGCTGCCCCAGCCTGGTGAGGGGGCATGGGACATCGAGGGGCGGGGTGGGGGTCACTTTGCGATGACAGAGTACCCAGGGACTGTCCTGGTGGGTCTGCACTCCCACACCCACAGACACTTACACTGTAGCACTTCCCGTAGACCAGCTGCTGTGCTAGGTCCAGCCTGTGCGCTGACCCATTTAATCCTCGTGCAGCTCCACGAGGCAGGGACCAAAGCACAGAGAACGGAAGTCAGATGCCCCAGACTGCACAGCTAGTGGTGGAGCCTGGATTCGAACCCTAGCAGTTGGGCTTTCCAGTCCATGCTCTCAACCTTTACACTCTGCTGCCTCCACGCATGGACTTGCTCATTATCAGTAATCATTTATGAAACAGTCGTATGTTCCTGGCACTGTGCTAAGTGATGCCACAGTTTTACAGACATATGCATCCACAAGGCTCAGTCTCACTTGTAATCTCCGAGTCTCCTGAATACAAGTAGCCACACAAACATAGTTACATAGTCACACGTACGTGTCACAAAGTCACAAGTGAGACACACACGAAGGTACAAAGATAGGTGGCTTGTACAGCCACATAAATAGAGTGTTCAGTTGCTCAGGTAAGCCACCCAGATTTCCAGGAAAGCACAATACAGTCATTTTCTCTGTACATGGTCACAAATGAAACCAGTCACACAGATCACATGAACACGGCCCTCTGAGTACAGGCACACAGACCCAGAAACATGTCACACGTGTACAGGCATATCTCACACAACCACACTCACACGCACCTTAACAGCTACATCCTGATCAATATGGTGTACTTTCTCAGACACACAAGTCCCAGTTATGCTCAGAGGGTGGGGGACCACCTTGTGAAACAGCCACACACAGACCCCGCGTCGCAGAGGAGCCAGCCCTCCCCACCAAGACCTCCTCACTTTGTGGCATCAGCCCAGACACCAGCTGGTTTTGTTTTAAAATCTCTTCCTGCTTATTTTGTTCAGAGTAACAACTTCCCCAGAAACCTTCAAATAGGCAGCTGGATGGGGTGGTGAGGGGGCGGGGCGCCGGGGATCCGGGGAGAATGCTCATCGAGACTTCAGTTGGGGTTGGGGGTGGGGGACTTCTCTAAGCCTTAAAATAGATTTTTACAAAGCCCTCGACAGGAGCACGTGGGCGGGTCTTTTCCAGCAGTCAGGCTGAGATGTGGTTTCTGGCACAGAACAAGGCTGGATGGGGAAGGGGCTTGAGGTCATCAGTGTCCTAGGGTGGGTGTGGCCTCTGGGAACATGCAGTGTAGGCCTGGTGCTTGGGAGTCAGGGAGGCAGGGATCTGGGGATCCTGGAGTTGGGCTGGGATAGGACCAAGGGTGGGATTAGGGATAGGGGATTAAGATTAGGAGGTCATGGAGGTGTTGGACCCAGGAGTCTGCCTCCAGGGGACTAAGCCCAGGATTCCAGCTGGTTCAGCTTCAGACCCAAAGCCTTCTTCATGCCCAGTGATTTGGAGGGGCAGTCTCCCAAGACCAAGGCAGGGGCCTGAGTCATCGGGAGACATTCTGGTGATCTGCCGAGACTTCACAGTCAGCAGGCAGGGATTGGGGCAGACACGAGGAAGACCTTTCGCCTTGAGAAGAGATGAATGATGACGGGGCTTCTGGGCCCTTGTCTCCACTGTCTGTAAGGGCATGGCTGAAGCCTGGTGCCTGGAGCTGGGGGAATTGCCCAGATGCTCTTCTAACTGAAGGTCTCTGTGAATCATCTAATTGCTGAATGTCGGAGCAGGAGGGGTCCCTTGAGAGCATCTAGTCTGATGTACTCATTTTATCGACGAGGCATCCAAAGCCTGGAGAGAAACCATGTTCCTGGAGAACGACCTCAAGTTCTCTCCCAAGAGCCACACCCTGCCACGTACTGGCTGGGTGACTGGGGCAAGCTATTTCACCTCTCTGAGTCCGCTTCTTTGTAGAATGAGGAAAATAATACACACCTTGCAGGGTCGTCCGGGGGGTTACATGAGATTGGATATGCAAAGGCACCAGCCTCGTGCCTGGCACGTCGTAGACTCAGTGAAGTGTCGATGCTTTACTATTGCCCACAGTCGCACAGCAGAGCCCCACGCGGAGTGAGTTCTCTGCCTCCACACTTCCGCCCCTTCCCTGCAGCGCACTCCTCTCCACCTATAATTCCTTCCCCCCGTTTGTTTTTTTCTCCCAGGCCTTGAGGATGCCAATGTCCCAGCTCGGAGCCCCCTCCTGGGTGGCAGAGTCTGGTGCCAGAGGGATGTATGGGGTGGACTCATCTTGGGCACTAGCCCTGGAAGCTGTTCCAGGAAAGAGCCTAGAAGGGCGCCCCCTCTAGGCCCAGCGGAGATGGCTCAGTTCCCTGCAGGGCCGGGCTGTGGGAAGTGGGGAGGAATTCCACTCCTGGGCCCAGCCTTTGGGGCTCTGGTCTGCCCTTCCTAGGGGCCTCCTTCCTCCTAGTTTTTCTGTACCCTGAGTTGGCTACAGCCCTGCCCTTCCCTCTTTGTTTCAGAGTCTCTGCCCTGTCTCAGGGCCCATGATATCCAGTCTGGACTATTGCACCAGCCTCCTCTCTGGCTCCCCTACCTCCTGCCTGCCACCTTCCAGATTGTTCCTCATGTTGCCCTAGAGTGGATTTACAAAACCTCACCCTGACACTTTAGATGGCTGGTCATGGCTCCGTAACTTCCTATGGGACCTTGGGAAAGTCACTTTCCCACTGGGCCTCAGTTTCCTCTGCTGTAAATAGAGCTAAAAATTCTCTCTCTCAGCTTCCTTCTAGATCTAACATTGCCTAAGTTGTGGAACCAGTGAGGAGGGTGATGTAAGAGCTTTGGGGTCCAGGACACAGGCTGGGTCCAGGACACAGGGCCATCCTGGGCTGTCTCAGCCCCTGCCCAAATGGAGCTCGTCTTTTCAGTACCAGAGACAGCGTCTCTTCTCTCCAGGCTCTGTCAGGTCAGGGTGAGGAGAGGGCTCAGGGCCATTCCAGAAGGGGCCATGGGGAGTGCTGCTGCAGGTGTGGCTGCCCCTCCCCGGTATGCAATGGGACAGATGGGATGGTTCCTGGAGTCTTTCGGTCTCCGGGGCCCACAGAGTTATTGCAGGCAACTGGGCCAGGTTCTCTGAAGAGATAGGCTACGTAAAATTATTCCCCAGATGAACAGGGGTTGAGCCTGGACACGTACGATGCCAGTAGAGGGATTTTTTCCTGAGATTGCAAGACCTTTCTCTCCCCCTGAAGACATGTAACTTAATCTCTACTGAATCACATCTCAGATGCACGGGGATGGGGAGGGGAATGAGAAGTAGCATGTCAGTAGACTGGGAGTCTGTGGCCTGGAGTCTAGTCCCAGCTCTCTCGGCGCCTAGACTCCAAGCTCCCCGTCTGTGAAATTGCAGAGGCGGCGGGTGGGTGGCCAAAGTATCTCTGGCGCTCCAGGATTCTGTGACTCCCCCACTCAGGGGCCCACATTGGGTTAGACAAGTCTTACTTAAGAAGGCAGATTTGCTCCCAAATGGGTCAAAGCTTCTGGAAGCTCTAAAAGAGGATGGTTGGGGTCGTGGGGTGGTGAGGCTCTGGCTGAGGGTGTGTGTTGGGGGTGAGAATGTGTGGGGGGGTGACTTGCAGCCCCCACAGCCCATCTGTTCTTCTGTGTTAGACAAGATGTGGCAGTTAGGAACCAAGGACTGGGAGAGTCCCCCCACACACCCACCGTTATTACCCAGGCCTCTATGTGTGTGGTGTGTCACACACCATTTGTGGGTTCGCACGATGTATGTGTTTGAGCGGACGGGTTCAACTCCAAGCGTTACGGTGTGAAGATCACACGCGCCTGACCTGAGTGTGTGCAACAGAGTATGTCATGTGTCCATGTGACTAAGACCTGCTAGGACCATTTGTGACTGTGTGACTGTTGTATAAACATACACATGATCTTATAAATTAGATTACTCTATTCATAGATGTGATTTTTGATGCTGTGTATGTCTGCTTATGCCGGTCTGTGTGAAAGAAATATGTATGAGCTAACGTGACTCTGTGCGTGTATGTCTGTGTGACAGACAGACATCCTGGTGATCTCATTGGTTCCTGGATGTGATAGCTATTCCAGTATCCCAGAAGCTGGGACAATTTCAGAGAAGACGTTCCTCCTCACCCCCAGCATCCCATCCGCTAGTGATCCTGGCCCTCTCAGCCTTCCCTCCCCCACGGGGGACTTCCTGGAGGATAAGCAGGTGAAGCAGGAGGAATAGAGCCCTCCTTTTCCCAGGCTGGGGTCTTGAACATCCCCTCCCTGACCCACTGTTGGGTGTGGTGGGAGAGAGAAACTCTAGGGTCACCAGCTCCCCACTCCACACTGCTTTCAGGGGCTGTGCTGCCTGCCCCCCCGGCCCCCTGGCCTCTCCCCATCCCTGTAGGCAACTCCACTCTTAATCTGCTTGGCCTCTAACCAGTGACAGCAAATGGCTCCTTTGGTACAGCTCCTATGTGAGCACCACTTCCCTCCCCACCAGCAGCCAAGCTTCAGTGGGGAAGTCCCTGCAAACCCTCAACCTGTTTCCCCCCAAACCCCCGCCCCCAGGAGGAGAGGGTGTCTAGAGGGACCACACTGCAATGCTGAGGAGGTTGCCATGGAAACCCAGGCAGGATGATGCGCAGCTAGGAGAGAGAAAGTGCCCCGTGTTCCCTGCAAGGCTGGGAGGGGCCGGGATGTGGGGGAGACGGCCTCTGCTCGCACGGTACAGCTACTGGGGTTCTTCTGCAGACCTTTCTCTCAAAGCCAAAGTCGGCGTGGGTCAGCCGAGCAGTCCCTCGCTCAGTCTAGCTTCCCTGATGGCCTCTCCAGCTCTGCACCCTTCCCTCTCCATGTTCACCCCACATGGAGAAGGCGAGTCTCTTTGAGAGTGGCCAGGCTTTATATGGGGGGTTTTATGGGGCCAGTGAAGGTATCAGTGAGGTGAGTTGTGGGGTCTGGGTGTGATAGGGTCTGTGAGGATACCGGGAAGAGGGAATCCGAGAGAAGACAAACTTTCCAGAATAGAGAAAGAGGAGGAGCACTTAGGTTCGGGGGCAAGAGCTGAACTCAGGTGGGTGTCAGGGAGCCTGGCGAGGACAAGAGTGAGGCCCCCAGCACCGCCATCCCCACTCTGCCTCCAGCCGTCCTTTTGGCCTCTTCTGTCTGTGTCACTGCCTTGAGCAGGGCCATGTGTCAGGCTACAGACCAGCTCTGAGGTCAGCTCAGCCACGTCCCCATCTCAGAGCCCTGTTCATCCTGCCCTTCCCAAGTGTGTGACTTTGGTAGGGCTCTTGGAGAAGCCTCGTCTGTGATCTGACCTTGTTCCCTCTTTGTGCTTGGGGCGAGGGGCCACAGAAGGGGCCAGCAAGAAGCTGCGCAGCAACATCCGCCGGAGCACAGAGACGGGCATCGCCGTGGAGATGCGGAATCGGGTCACGCGCCAGGGCAGCCGGGAGTCCACCGACGGGAGCACCAACAGCAACAGCTCTGACGGCACGTGCGTGCAGCCCACGCCACAGTCCCCACCCTCCCTGCTCCCCGAGTCACGGCCAGGGGGCAGGGCAGGAAAAGCTCCCTGTTTGGTTTCTAGCTGAGATGTCTGGGTTCCTCTAGTCTCTGCCTCCCTCCGTCCCCCTCCCCTAGACAGCCAGTGTCTGGGCCCCAGCCCCTCCTATCACCCCCGTCAGAATACCCCAGAGACCCAGAGCAGTTCATTCCTTCTGTAACATTCAGGAAGGAACCCTGCCTCCTACCTCCCACCACCTACATACTGCCCTGCTCCAGAGGACAGTGTGGAAAGGAAACTGTGATCCTAAATTCCTTTTAAATCTAAAACCATTGTTGTGGCTTAGCTGAGTGGAGTTCTCACAAGTAGCCCTGCTTGGAGCTTAGGGAAGGAGATTGGACTAAATCAGTGTTTTTCAAACTGTGGATAGTGACTCATAGGTAGGAAGTAAAATCGGTTTAGTGGGTCAAAACCAGCATTAGAAAAAGAAATAGAAAACTCAGCTGTATCCTAGGAGGTAAGGATAAATTACCTTGTGAACCCTGTTTCAGTTTTTTATGTATAATGCGCATAGATTTATACTGGGTCATGATGTTAAATCTTTTTCTTACCTGTGGGTTGCAGTCAAAAATTTGTAAGTCACTGGGTTAGATATTCCCCCCCGATCTCTTCTAAATCTGCGAAACTATAGCTGTGTGACTAAGATCTTTCGCTTGTGCTTCATCAAGGCCCAGTGATTTCCCGGCTCAGGATTCTGGGGCTCCGTCGCTTAGATTCAGTGACCGTGTGTCTCTCTGCTGTACCTGCCCTCCATGAACGCGAGTACTCGCTAGCATTCATATATGATAGGATCTCACCACGGAGACAGCACCGTGAGCACCTCAGATCAGCGATCCTCACACTGGGATCTACTGGCTGTGATCAGATCAGGGGCAATGACCACTGGGATTCGCATCCTACGATTATCTCCATTTAGCAAGTGGAGAAACTGAGGGAGCAGAGTGGGGCCAAGTACCTACCCAAGGTCACGGCCATTCATCGGTGATGGAGTCAGGATTGGAACGAAGGCCTTTGACTCCGTAACTTTTGTTCACAATCCCTACATTCTCTATACCGAACTCCTACAATTCTGCGACCTCAAGAGTCTAAGTTTCTTTATTTAACCTTCTCAGATCCCATTGTCCTAAGAATGTGATTATCAGGCTATTATTGACTGTGGCCAATAAAAGTGGGTGGGCCTTAAAGCCCCTTCCAGGGCAGTGAGGAAACACAGGCTCTCTCCAACAAGTATACACAGCCTGATCTTCCCTCCCTGCCTGTCACCGGCCAAGGGGAACTCAAGGCCGGCTGTGCAGTAGGAGATTCTTTCTTGGACAGTCTTTTATTTGTCTAGCCAGGAGCTTGGGCCATTCTAGGAGATCTTAGAACTTTGTTTGTTCTGTCGTAGCCCCTAAGCAGACCTGGGCCAACCCTCCCTCATCTGTCTTTTCTCTGTTGGCCACACCCAGTACATCTAGGCTTGGGGACATGAAAAAGTAGCCCTTTTCCCTTGATGCTAAAACAGCAGCAGCAATAACTACCAATTAGTGGTTTCTGTTTGTCTGGAATTTTTCATGCACTATTTGCCCTAATCTTCACCATAACCCTATGATCTGGGCATCATCTCTGTTCTGTAGGCTAGGCCAGTCTCTTACCTCCGGGAGCCTCTGTTTTCTCATCTGCGAAATTGGGTGGCAGCTCCTACCACACAGCATTAAATGATATAATGCACACGGAATATTTAGTGCACTGTGGCCACCCGGCCAGCTTTCAGTCACCATCAGTTTTCATTACTATTTCCAGGCGCCCCTCCCATCACTTGCCATTCAGCCCCACCCTACGGTTGTGGTATTTGGGTCTCAGGTGCTGTTTGGAGCACCACCTCATGTTTGACTTGGATTTCAAACTTATGGTCAACTGAAACTTCAGTTCTTAGAACTTGTTCCAGGCATTGAAATGTCTGGCCCAGGTCACTGGTTCTTGGCATTGACATCCCCTGGTGAGGACACAGGTGTCTAACAATCCCTGCCTTGTAAGAGTCACCTCAGATATCCCCAGGGCTGCAGGATTAAATACCATCATTAGGCTACAGTTTTAGTCTCTTTTCTCAAGTGACATCAAATTATTTTTCTTTAGTGCGCAGAAGTGAACAGTTCTGTTTGCCCCCAGCCACAGTAGCGCACTCAACGCTGTGTAGAGGAGAAACTGAGGCGCAGAGGGGCGTGCCCAGTGCCCCAGGGGCAGAGCCCTGCAGCCCACCAGCCACACCCCCGCCCAAGGCTGCCCTGACACCCTCATGCGGCCCTCTGCCTCCTCCGCAGGTTCATCTTCCCCACCACCCGGCTGGGCGCCGAAAGCCAGTTCAGCGATTTCCTCGATGGGCTGGGCCCAGCCCAGATTGTGGGGCGACAGACGCTAGCAACGCCACCCATGGGTGAGTCTTGCTGAGGGGAGGGCGAGTGGGTTAATGGGGTCCCTGCGCGACATGGTGAGAGCAGCACAAAGGAGTCCTCGCTCAGGCCTTCGTGCCAGCGAGGAGGAGTTAGTGCCCACTCATCAATCCCTCCCCGTCAGAGAGGAACGGGTCCCAGCCTTTCCCAGCTGGCCGCCCTGCAGCAGCTTTCACAGCACGTCCCCTCCGTCACTTCACCACACGCTCACCCCCCTCCCACCACCCACCGTGTGCCCGGCAGTGTGAAGGGCCGGGCGTAAAGTGCCCAACAAAAATGTCACAGCATTGGTTGTCATGGTTTATTCTATTACCAATTCTCTGTGTGACCTTAAGCAAGTCACCTCCCTTCTTTGAGCCTCAGTTTCCTCATCTGTAAAATGGGAATGATAATGCCCACATTAGTTCTGCAATCTGACAACACTTTCTTGAGCTCCTCTTAGATGCTTTGCTTGAAGTATTTCAATTTGCTCCTTCGGAATTGTGGCTAATTTGACTGGTTACTCCTCATAGAACAAGCCTTTTAGTCATTTTCTCACCCCTCCTCCCTGCAGTCAGCCCTCCGTATCCATGGGTTCCACATTCATGGACCCGACCAACTCGGATTGGAAACATTTGAGGGGAACAAAATTCCACAAAGTTCCAAAAAGCAAAACTTGAAGTTTCTGCATGCCTAGTACTATGTCAAATCCACCCAAACGAAGTGATTTGGAGGCCTTGTATTAGATACAAGGACAGTCACACTTAACGATGGGGATGCATTCTGAGAAATGAATTGTTAGGTGATTCTGTCATTGTGTGAACATCACAGAGTGTACTTACACAAACCTAGATGGTATATAGATTTTTATTCATATATATCTTTTAATCTGGAAAGCCAAATTTCCCAGCACCACTACTGAGTATCAGTCATTTCCCCTACTTGATCTGTTATACCAGTATCAAATGCCATATATCAGGTTTCTAAATATGCTCCATTATAATCTTATAGGACCACTGTCATATATGTGATCCATCATTTACTGAAATGTCATTATGTGACACGACTGCAACCTAGAGATGATTTAAAGTATACGGGAGGAGTCAGGTGCAGTGGCTCACACCTATAGTCCCAGCTAGTCAGGAAGCTGATGCAGAATTGTTTGAGCCCAGGAGTTTGAGACCAGCCCGAGCAACATAGAGAGACCCAGTCTCAAAAAAAAAAAAAAAAAGGATATGGGAGGATGCACATGGGTTATAAGCAAAAAATAAGCCAATAAAAAAAAAGGAACTGAACAACCGGGGCCTTTGGGAACCGGGGGAAGGGGGGGGGGGAAGGGAAGCCCAAAAACAAACCCCCAAGGAAAACGAAGGCCGAACGCAACTCCTGAAATTTAAAACCGGGCCCCCTGGCCGCCCAATTCCCCAAAACCCAAAAAGAACCCCCCCCAACCCCCCCCTTAAGGGGTCGCCGAGGTGGCCTCCAACAACCCCCCCCCAAGCCAACCTCCCCAAAACCGCCCCCCCGCCCCCAACCCCTCCCCCTCCAGCCGAACGAATAAGGGCCCAACCAGGCACCCCTGCTTAGCCCTCATCTGGACATGTTGGACCTTTGACCCTCACAGCAAATGAGGAAGCCAGTGCAGACAATGCCCTGCTATGATTCATGCAGTAGAACTGGGGTTCCATTCCAGGCAGGACTCTCCCCCTTGCACTGCCCTCAAAAGTGCCCACTGTCTGCTGGAAGAGGGATCCATGGGGACCTTTGGAGGATAAGGTCAGCTCTCATCTGGCCCTTGGATTGGCCCTTGCTTCTAGTCTCTTAAGCGCCAGGGGAGCTGCTTTTCCCAGCCCTAGACCCAGCCACCGGCTGGGAGGCAGTGAGCAGAGCCAGCCACTTCCACAAAGCTAACACGCTATGGGGCTTGCAACGTTTGTGTGTGGTGCCCCCTGGTGTCCAAACCTGGGAAGGACAGGTTTGCATCTGCTTGTTACAGTGAGACAAGATTAATTCCCAGGACCTTCCCTTTCCCCCTCCCCAACGAGGAGGTCAGGAGTAGCTGGATGGAGGGGGATGAATTCCAGATGTCTCCTGAAAGTAATAAATCCCCATCTTCCCCAGTATGCCAATACAAACAATGCCATGATGGCTCAGAGAATCTAAAATGGGTGGCTGAACCCAAAATCTGGCCCATTTAATTTTTCTGGATCAGGCTTATGATCCTGAGCCCCTTTGAAGGACTTCACTGTGTTCCAAGTGGCTACTACGTAATTCCAAATTCTGCCAACCCACGTTGACCAGAGCTAAGAGTTCCTAGAAATCAGGTAACTGACGTGACCACACACAGATCTTGCCCCAGCAGGGTCATCCGTTTTGTGGGAGCACCTAACTCCTCACTGGGTGCAGGGAGGCGTTCTCAGCTCTCTGCAGCCAGGAAGCCCGCCAGCCTGCCCGTCCTCCATTGGCAGCGTGTAAGCAGGTCCTCACTGTCAGGTGGCACCTCATGTCCTGTGCACTGTTATAGCTCAGCATCTCTTCATATTGATATCCTTTCGATATTTGTTCAACATACGTGTAGAGGAAGGTGAAGAAGAGCCACTGAGCCCAGGCTGCCTTCTGTCTTCCTGACACAGGAAGCTCTGTCCCCCAACTTGCCATTCTACTCAGTATAACAGAAGCCTCCCAGTTAGCCAGCCTTAGATGGGAGTTTGGTGGCCACTTGTTACCCAAGCCTGCCCCTTAAGGGTCATGCCCCGACCCCACCCCAAGGGACCTATCAAAGTATCTCTCAGCCGATTTAAAGTGGTCTCCCGAGGGCTGGTCTGGCACATGTGGTTGGCTCCATCTCGTTCCCTTTCCAGGGACGATGCAGCATCCTCTGCAGACTGGCATTCTGCATGGTGCTGGCTGGCCCGCCCTGGCCTGGCTGTGCGTGGACTCACCCTCTTCTCCCTCGCAGGGGACGTGCACATTGCCATCATGGATCGCAGCGGCCAGCTGGAGGTGGAAGTGATTGAAGCTCGGGGCCTGACTCCCAAACCAGGCTCCAAATCCCTCCCAGGTGAGGGATTTTGGAAATGGGGTCCTGGCAGGGAGGCTGTGGGTCTAGCAAGTTCTGAGTTGGCCTAAATCAGTATTCTTGACAATGGAGTGACACCTTGGCTGGAAGGCCAGTGACTAGGGCAGGGGGAGGGGAGGGTGGAGAAGTCAGTGCTTTAGTTCCCTGTCCCATGTGTGGTCTGCTGGTGGGCTCATCCTATGCACCCCGCTCACCTCCAGGTCAGGGGATGGGGCGGGCCATAGGAGTCCCTCCTGGACCCCTCCCCATCATGCTTGTTCTCATCCCTCAGCCACTTATATCAAGGTTTACCTGCTTGAGAATGGAGCCTGCTTAGCCAAGAAGAAGACAAAGGTGGCCAAGAAGACCTGCGATCCCCTGTACCAGCAGGCCCTGCTTTTTGACGAGGGGCCCCCGGGCAAGGTGCTACAGGTGAGTGTCACAGGGCAAGTGGGGCAGGGCAGGCTCTCAAAGGCTGGAAGTCGTAATTTAGTCTTTCATTTACGATTTCTCCTGTGCTAGGCATGTTGATTTGTATTACCCATTTATTTTCACAGTCCAGTGAGGTGTTATTGCCCCCAGCCGATTCATAAGGGAGGCAAGGTTCAGGGCGTAACGAAATTGCTCCCCAGGTTGCACAGCTGGTGGGCAGAACCAGGATCTGTCCGACTGCTGCCTTCTCCTTCCCCTGGTGCTGATGTTTATTGCACACCCGCTCGGTGCCAGGCTTTGTGTTAGGTGCTTTCCAAAGTGACCTTGTTTCAACCTCGAGATGATCCTGCGAAATAGCCATGACTCTCCCCACTTTACGAACGAGGAAACAGAGTCTCAGAAAGATGATGTGACTCGCTTGAGGTTTCAAGCTAGTAACTAGCAGAGCTGAGTTGAACCCAGGCCAGCAACAATCATCTCAACCACTTGAGAGTGACAAAGCCCTTCTGCACACTTTGTGTTGTTAGCCCTTCACAACAGTCCTGGGAGAGAGGCAGCATCACTCCCATTTCATAGGTGAAGAACCTGAGGTCACGTGAGGACACAGCACAGTGGCGGCTCTGTCTCTGGGCTCAGTCCTGAGTTCAAACTCCAGCCCAACACTCACTAGCTGCAGGTGGTCTGTTGTGAAGATTAAATGAGAGATTGCATGTAGAGAGCCTGGCATGGTGCCTGGCACCTAGACACTACGCGGCAAGTATTAACAGGCATGGTGGTGGTAGCTGTTGGTCTTGCCTGAGGCCACGTGGGTGGCAGAGAAGAGGCCAGAGCCGGGGCTGTCTGGGCTGTCCGACTTCTCGTGTAGGGCTGTTCCTCTGGGCTGAGCTGGTTCTGTGGCAGGGGCCCTTGGAGTTGGAGACTTAAAGGACTGCAGAACCCTAGGGCTCAGGGGTAGTGGGGCATGGTCTTGGGTGTCTGTTTAGAAAAGGATTCACCAATAAAAACACACGTGTGAAAACCTCTGGGCTAACCTGTCCCTTCTCACAGCATTATGGTGGAAACACCAAGGGCCGGCGGCTTGTGCAAGCACCACAGCCAGCCAGCAGCAGGGCTGGGGCTGTCATCCAGGTCCCGGACTCTCAGTCTGCCCCTTCCTAGGGAGCGCTGTCGTCTGGAATGCTGGAAGCTTGTGGAGTCAGACACACCCACGTTCAATGCCAGCTCTGCCACAAATTACTGTGTCTCTTTGGGTTAATGAACCTTTCTGAGCTGCAGTTTCCTCTTGGTGGATGTAATAATGCACAGCACCGGACCTACACAGCTTGTTATAACAATTGAAATAATGTCTGTAAAGTCCATAGGATCACACCTGGCACATCTTAAGTGCTCAGTAAGTTGTTGCCCTGAATCGGTCTGAGTCCTGGCTCTCTCTGTCCCATCTGTGCCCAGGTGAAACTTATAGGTTCCTGGGGCCACTGTCCAGTCCTGGAGTCAGGGAAGGAGCTCAGTCCCTCCCTCTCTTCCTCCCCTCCTGGCAGGTGATCGTCTGGGGAGACTATGGCCGCATGGACCACAAGTGCTTCATGGGCATGGCCCAGATCATGCTGGACGAGCTGGACCTGAGCGCTGCGGTCACCGGCTGGTATAGACTCTTCCCCACCTCCTCAGTGGCAGATTCCACACTCGGCTCCCTCACCAGGCGCCTGTCCCAATCCTCCCTGGAGAGTGCCACCAGTCCCTCGTGCTCCTAAGGATGTCAGGGAGAGAGGCTGGGATGGTGGTGTGGGAAGGGGTGCCTGCGGATCCCCACCTCCTCCCCTGTACATAATCTCCATGTCTTTCTCGACCCCCTGTCCTGCTGCATGCCTCTTGGCTACTGGGCTTGTCCCAGCTGGCAGTGGAGACTGGTGTGTGTGTGTGTGTGTGTGTGTGTCCACATTCTATCTATCTGTTCACCTGTCTGGGTACAGTCAGACCTGGTGACTACATGGGCTGAAATGTCTCCATGTCTCTTTGTATCTTGTTGAAAAGAACCCCAAAGGAGTGTGATGGGGACATGACTCACCCTGAGGGGTCTCCAGGGATGGAGGTGGGGGATGCGGCCACTGGTCAGTCCCACCGTGTCCAGGAACCAGAGCAGAGCCTGCGTGTCCCCACCTGTGTCTGCTCCTTGTGGTCTCCACTTTGTCTTCCGTCTTGTCTTTTGTTCCGCCCTTGCCTCTCCCAGCACCGCTGCTGTTTTCTGAGGAATGTAGCATCCACTGCAGCTGGCCACGCCGAGGCCCCTCTGGGAACCCCATCTCCCCCACTGACACCCTCCTCCGCACTTGAGCTGCTCCGGCAGCTCTTCCTTCATCCGCCGAATGTGTCCTGCAGCATGTAGCATGCCCATCTAGCACCTTGGCCAGGGCCCCGGGGGAGGCAGAGGATGCTGGGGCGCTGGGGGCTTGGAGACTGCCTTCTCTGTGGGGCTGGAACCACCTCCTTCCTATAGCAAGGCACAAGGAGGTCTTAGTCCCCAGGGCTGCTGGCCAGGTGCCCCCTGAGCATTTGTCCTTCATCTCCTTTATCTCTTCAAGCCTCCTGCTCTCCAACATGCCAAAGGAGCTCTCCCGGCGGGACCAGGAGGTCAGCCTCAGAGGGGATGTTACCTGCCAAAGCAGACAGTCCCCCTCTGGGCTCATCCCTGGCAGGGTATGACTTGGTAAGGAGGTGCTGAGAGCAGGGCTTTCTGCTGGAATAAGCCAGGCAGCGGCTGACTTGTTCCGAGCCACCGTTGAGAATCCTGCCTGACCTTTGTGATTAGCTGCATGAAGTTGTTCATTTGCGGCTCTATGTTTTGCTCATTTCCAAACCAGGGTCCCAGTCTGGGAGCTCAGACTCACATGGGCTCCAGCCTTCTGGCTCCATGAGCAGCCTGGCTCCAGACTCTAGTCTGCCACTGTCACCAGCTCTGTATAAGCAATACTTCCCCCTCGGCCTCCCTGCCTTCTTGCGCTCCACCACTGCCCCCGGAAAGTGGCCTGCCCTAGGCATGTCACCTGCCTCTGCTTTCTCCCCAACCCTGTCTGGTTGGAGCTTCTCACGGCCACTCACACCCTGACTTGATTTGACAGCTGGGACCTGTTGGTGGGGACCAGTGTCTGGGCTGGACCCCCTGTGAGATACGTCTGCTGGGAATCTTGAAGTCTGGCTCAGGGATGCCCAAATCTGTCCCTCTCCCTCCTCGGCTCTGGGGTGAAAGGTGAAAGGTGCCCAGGAGATGGGCAGAGCAGCCCTTGGGTTCAAAGTGGGGGAAGCTCTCTTTCTCCCTCTTCCCGAGACATCACCCCCAAGTGCTAAAATGACTGTGGCCCAAGTACCTGAGGCAGGGAAGCGCCCCCCAGGTAGCAGTGGAGAGGTGTCAGCCCAGTGCTGGGCCTCCATTCATAACCAAAGTTGGGGGGTGGTACATGGGCCATCTCAGCCCAAAGGGCCTCCTTGCCTGGCAGGGTTGCTTGTTAGGCTGAAGCCTGAGTCCTGTCACCTCCCTCCCAGGAAAACTGGGAGAAGAAGCCAGGACCCCACCCGTCCTGCCCACAGGAAAGAGGGGGTAAGGACAGGAAGGAAGGAAGTAGAGTTAGCTCCTGGGCTTATCTCCCACCTGAGCCTCCATTCTTGTATCTAGTATCGGCAGAGAAGGGAACCTTCGTGCACGGAGGAGGGGGGAAGGCAGCTGGGTTGGTTTGTCTTTTGGCAGAAATGCTCTCCCCAGTCCCAGTGCTCAGACTGGGTAATGCATGCCTTTCTCATGTTCCTACCAGTGGGGCAAAGGGCTCTATACTCCTTGACTCTAGTGGGGGGAGGAAACTTGCTTGCAAAAGAGTATTCTTATCTTCTATTTGTGAGGTATTCACCTCTAGAGCAATTGCTCTAAGGATGGTACGAAAATACTCCACATCTCTGGAGTGATGGGATTGTCAGTGATCTGCAGGGTAGTGTAGACGTTTGCTGATGTATCACCAAGGGGTGATACCCAGACCGTGCAGTCACTCCCAGGAAATGGGGTCTACCAACACAATACCCTCCTTTCTCTAAGGGTCCAGGAAGGTGGGGAGCTGCCAGCAGCGTGGCTGCCACTGGGCAGCTCTAGGCCACAGTGCCCTTGCCTCTGGGGGGCGGTTAGCACAGGGAAGTTCTGGCCAGAGGAGGCGCCTCATGTGCTGGTAACTTGGGCTGACCCGCCTACAATCCCCAGCTGTCAGAACGGCCAGGAGTTGGGCCACCCCACTGTCTCACCTCTGTAATGGAAGGTAACTGCTCTCCAAATTGACCTTGGGGAATTATTCTTTTTCACCCTTGGCATCAAATAGATTACTAATCCCCACCTGTATTTCCCCCACGAGGGTGAGGATGTGTGAGGCTGCTGTGCATGTGTGATGGGGTTGGCTGAATTTAAGAGTTTCTCAGCATCCTGGATGCAGAGGCTTGTCCGAGAGGCCACTCTGGAGCTAGCCTGTCCCAGAAAGAGGAGCGTGCACAGGTGTGACTCCTGGCCTTCCCTGGGCTGGGAGAGCATGTGTCCTTTGAGGAGGGGATGGTGGGGAATGAAGGAGCCTGATCCCTCCAGAGTTCTTCCTACCCTGGTTCAGTGTCCTGGCTCCAGGTGCCCCCTCGCCCCAGATGAAACCCTGCAGTGGTTACAGGATGGGGCTCTTTGTCATTCCATCTGCTCTGGTCAGGAGGGTCATCACAGATGTGGCAGAGACAGGAGTGGCCCTGCAGTGATGCTGGGCTGTGGGCAGGGACAGTGATGGGTGACTCAGAGCATCTGTCTTCGTAGTCTGTTCAGTCTGCCCCACTTTCTTCACAGACTCCTTTTTCCTGCAGTGGGCTTTGGTATGAGGCAGGCTCCAGTAAAGGGAGCCAAGTTTTGGCTTGACAAGGGGAGTTTGATCCTTCAGGAAGAACCATCTCCAAAACTCCTCCCTACCCAGTCTCTTCTGCCACCCAATTCTATGAGGAAAGGAGCACTTAGGAGGCTCTTGGGACCAGCAAGTCCCAGGCAATGCCAGCATTTCGTGGGGCTGGAGCAGAACCTAGGAGCGCCAGGGAAAGGGCACCCAGGGAGCTCATCTCTCATGGAATCACTGCCGGTTAGAGCACTGAGGTCAAGCCAGTCCTCCTGGGGGCATGACACCCCCCAGGGAAGCACACCTGACCTCTTCTTTACTGCCAGCCTTGAGGAGAGCGGAAGCCTCCATTTTTAAAGACAATAAAGACCTCCAAGGGTACTTCTTTGGAAATGAAATGTAGCACAATCTCAGCCTGCGTTCCCAGGAGCCCTGATGTGCAGCCAGGGTCCTTCCTGCAGGCCCTGCTGCCCAGGAGATGCTGAGCTCCTCTTCCCCTGGGGTTCCAGAGCTCCTAATACCTCATATTCCCCACCTTCCTCAGCCCAGAGCGCAGCAGGGCTTTAGCAAGGCTGCTCTTCTGTGTTCTTCTGACTGCTTCTAGCACTGTGCAAACTCTGCAAGAAATTGCTGCCTTCGCTCGATGTTGTAGATGAGTTGCTCTCCACCTGGGGGAGAGACGGCCTGTCACTCGGGGCCAGGAGGTTGTCCAGCAGTGTTTCTGCAGTGGCCGAAAGGCGATGGAAAAGAAGAGGCCTGCTTCCCTGCCACCTCCTACCCTCCTCTTCCTCTCCTCAGAGTTTTCTTCTCCAATATCCTGACACATAAAGAGATTCTTTAAAATGCTGCTTCCTCTACTGGACTGTCTTTCACTGAGTTATCAGGGAGGAGATGAAAAGGTGGACATGTCCCCTGCCTTCTCCCTCTCAAGTCTGCTTTTCGCTCAGGTCAGAAGAGGTTGGGGCAACACAAGCATGACTGAAGAGCAGGGGAGCCCCCCACAGTCAGGCGAGGCCTGGCGGGGGCTGCACTGGCCTGGTCTGGCTGGGAAAGGGTTATTTTGAAAGTGTGCCTGAGCATCTCAGAGCAATGTCAGTGATGCCAAAGAGAGCAACTTGGCCTCCTCGGGCACCAACTCTGCTGGCTGAGCTGCACAGAATGTGGCTCAGATGTTGGCGTGCCGTGCCCGACGGTGGGACCTTGTTCTCTGACAAAGGGCTTAATCTTTCCATGTAGCAAAGCAACTCCCCCTCCCCCCAACCCTGAGCTTGGGCTTTTGTGGGCCCAGCATGGCTGTGCCTGTGAGGGAAGCCACATCAGTGAGAGAAACTTGCATTCTCTCAGGGGCCTAGACTGGCTTGGGGCAGGTGCTCGTTAAAAATATGAGTGTTTCTGCTTTGGGAAAACCTTCCAGGGCTCTGGAAACTTGGCCAGTAAGGACAGGGCCTTGGGCCTCCCCAAGGAGTTCACGCTGACGCCAGGAAGGGTCTGTGGGACTGGGTTCCGGACAGCTTGGCTACCAGAAATGGGGCCTGGGAATTTCAGGGGCAACTGAGCATCTGCCCCATAGCCAGTGACCTGGAAAGGGATAGCTGGCTATAGGAAATCAAAGGCTGTTCTGTATAGTTTTGCCAGAAACCGTGACCTTCTCACTTTTCTGGGCCTCAGCTTCCTCATCTGCAATATCAGAGCATTCGCTGGTTGCTCCGTGGTTCCCTCCAGGTTTTAAAAGTCTCTGATCTGGAGCTGATGAGGGTTGCCAGCCTGGTGCACCTGGTGCCGGGTTCCACGGGCTGGTTTCTTCCAGCCACTGGTGCCCCAGCTGGGCGCAGGTCTTCATCTGGTCCGTGCCCAGATGCTGCTTCTGACAAGAACTCTGGGAGTCCTAACAGACTCTGCTTTCCCCTCTTCGTGGTTTGTCCTCCCTCTTTTACTCTTGTGTAATGACAAGAAATAAGGGTTATCTACAATGGACAATTTTTAAGGTGCTGATGTGATGTCACAACCTCAGCTGCATCCTGAGTTAGGTCAGTGTCCCCACCAGCAGATGAGGCTGGGTCATTCCTCATTTCTGCTTCTAGGATGGCATCAGTGGGAGAGTTGAAGATCTGAGAATTTTAAAGGAAATGCTCTGTTATGGGAGGAGAGAGA